GGGGGGGGCAGCGGGGCACAGCAGTGGGAGAGGGTGGTGGGATGACAGGGCACATGAACAGAAAGGGGACCAGAACACTGACCCAGTCCTTTGATGGACTTTAAGTGGGTGAGCTAATTGTCCCATAGGAAGCCTGTGGCAGCCACACCAGATCTGCGAGGTGGCATGAGGCCGGCCAGCAACTGAGCATTCGGATGGCCTCAGCAAAACCACCATCATCTCAGGCCTCAGGCTGTTCAGGCCACAGATTGAACAACAAGAGTTTGCGTGGAAGGACATCTGACTCTGAGGAAGTCTGAAGAACAGGAGCTAGGGAAGGACCAGAGCTGCCCACAGTCTCAGGTGTGGTCCTGGTTGGCTTTCCGAAAGCGACGCACAGCAAACAAAGGTGTTCTAAAGCCTGGCTCAGCTCCTGCCTCTGGCCCATGCTCTCAGTCCTGGGACACAAAGGATGGTCAATCCAAGCACAGAGCACTCCTGGAAAGACAATTTCCCTCCTGCTCACATTCTGCTCCAGTCAGAGTTGTCCATGGGGAAGGAGACTTCTCCTTAAGAAACAGAACAGAGCCCTAAGGGAAGGAACAAGGCCGATGCACGATCCCTTTTGTTCTGGGCTCTCTGGAGCCTGTCCTAGAGGAGAGGGCCCAGCCCTGCCTCAGCTCCAAGGGCCAGGCTGCAAGAAGACCCTTTCCAGGAGCACCTCCAGTGATCAGCATCCTAACCTTCAGCTATTTGGCAACTCCAGCCCAAGGACCAAGCCAATACCCCTGCCGGTTGCCGCAGGAAGGGCCTTCAAGGCCCTTGAGCCCGGCCCATCCTGTCAGAGGCACAGTCCCAAAGCCAGTCCTGAGCTTCAAGACTCCACCCTGTCCACTGCTTCCCCTGGGAGAGCTACTTGACACCTAAAGCCATCCCCAGGACGCTTATAAAGAGACGGGCATGGCTTCCTGCAGAGAACTCGCCTGTGGGTCGAAAGAGGAGATTCTCCTCCTGGTTTCGTTGCTGATCTGCTGTGGAATATTGGGCAGCTCAGGTAAACTCTCTCCTCTCTGTAAGATTTATCAGCTATGAATCAGAGCCTCTATATGCCTGCAGTGTGCAAGGTCCTGGGACTTCAGTGGTGAATAACACAGATATAATCCTTTTCTTCATGTGAGACCCGGCAACCTTTCCCACACCTTCTGCAGCACATGCCTGTGATTCCTGAAACCAGCTCCTTGGGTGGGTGGTCTGGGGGTGGGGGGGAGGGTGTGACAGGAATAAATACAACAACAAATAAACACACACACTGTGATTTTAAGGAAAGAAACAAAAACAACCAAATACGAATACTAGCATTTCCAAAATGCTTATAGGTAGAGGATAGCCCTTGAGCCACCTGAATATAATGAAAATTCTACCAGAGCATCTGGAATTCACTCTGTTCCACATTCCAGCTTATTGGGAAACGTAAAGGACAGAGACCAGCTTATCATGCACAAACTCCATGAATGTCAGTGTGCAGCGCCTAGTTCATATGAAACCCCAGGTACTGGGCTGACCCGCGGGGACTCTCCTTCCTCATCTCCACTCTAGTTGAAGGACCTATGAGGGCTGTTGTCTTCCTCAGAGGTCAGCCTCTTCTTGAGGCCAGGTCCTTCATATAAACCATGAGTTGAAATCAGAAATGCCAGCACCACCCCAAGCCCGTTGACTAATGTGCCGAGGCTGACAGGCCTGGCACAGGAAGACAGGGCTGATGTTCTCAGCCCCCGAATTGCAGGTGGGTGAGGTCTCTGGAAGTGCCCACCCCCACACGGATTTCCCTTTGTGGTAGCAGTGACTTCTGAGCCACTGAGCGCGGGGCTGCCATTTAGCTTCGCCCCCTCCCCTTCCTGTGCCCCAGAAGGGGGTTGGGAGCAGGTCCTCACAACAGAGAAGGCCCCACTTCCTCCGAGTTTCTGACAACATTTCTCAGCCACGTCAGGGCCTTGCAAGCCTGCAGTCAACAGGCACCCAGGTGATGGTGTCTCTCTCAGCCCCTATTTTTCCCTCATTAGCCCTTTGATGTCTCTAAGCTGACAAGGTCAGCATCTTCCAGGCCGTGAAGAACACGCCAGCCAAGTACCCCTTCCAATCAGCTCATTAAGGGGCCATGTGGTCTCTGGTCAAAGGAGAGTCTAAGGGGCTTACTGAAATGAGTCACCCATTCTGCCCCTGTCCTTTGGGGGGGGCTCCACCCTGTCAGCAAAAGGCCTTCAACAGAAGGGTGCAGAGGCGAGAACCGAGAGAGAGAGAAAAGCTCTAGTACCCCGCAAACTGCATCTCAAATAAGGTGAGAGATGGGTGGGCTCCTTCCATCCAGTATACTGGTGAGATGCAAGGGAGTTTCATGAGGCCCTTAAAGTCCACCCACGAGCCTGTTACTTGGTGCCCTTGGCCCAGACACTGGGTGGGGGTTGGGCGGGGGAAGTAACCAGAGCCTCTGAGTGTGTGAAGAGTCAGTGGCCTGACAAAGCACTTACTGACCAAGAAAAAATTAACTTCAGGTGCAGCAGGAAAGGTCTGGTACCAAGAATGTCTGGGGTTTTGAGACACTGGAAAAGATTGCCTAATAATGTAATGGGCTCCCTTCCCTGGAAATATCTGAAAATAGGATAAGTACTCTCCCATCCTGGATGGGTCAGCATTGCCTTGAAGTAAGGGGATGGTAACGTTGACCCATGGAGAGAGCTTGCAAACAACTTTGAGTCTATGACATGGTACGATTTTTTCATGGTGGTGAAATATGCATAACATGACATTTGCCAACTTCCATGTTTAAGTGTGCGGGTCAGCGGCATGAGGTACATTCTGAGCATCCATCAGCACCATCCATCTGCGGAACTTTTCATCTCCTCAAACTGAAGCTCTGTGCTCATTAAACATTAACCCCCCATTCTCTCTCTCCCCAGCCTCCGGCAGCCGCCATACCACTCTCTGTCTCTGTGAATTTGACTAGGCTTTGTACCTCATATTAGTGGAATCAGCCAATATTTGTCCTTTTTGTGCGACTGGCTTATTTCACGTAGCATAATACCTTCAAGGTTCATCCATGTTGTAGCATGTGTCTAATTTCATTCCTTTTAGGGCTCCTGTTATATATATCCATCCACAAGGGATACATTCTAAGACCCCCAATGGATGCCTGAAACCACAGATAGCACTGAACCCTATATATAGTATGTTTTTCCCTATACATACATACCTATGATAAAGTTTAATTTATAAAGTAAGGATAGTAAAAGATTAATAACAACTAAAATTAAAATAGAACAATTATAACAATATACTCTAATAAAATTTATGTGACTATGGTTTCTTTCTCAGATCTTACTCTACTATACTCAACGCTTTTTGTGATGATGTGAGGTGATAAAATGCCTATGTGATGAGAAGAAGAGAGGGGAATGACGTAGGCGCCGAGAGGTAGTGTTAGGCTACTATTGACCCTCCGAACATACATCAGGAGGATCATGCGTTTCCAGACAATGGACCACAGATACCCGAAACCGGGGATAACAAAACAGCAGATAAGGGAGACTACTGTACCACATTTTATCTATCCACCTGTCATGGACATTTGGGTTGTTTCTACTTTCTGGCTATTGTGAATAATGCTACTCTGAACATGGATGTACAAATATCTGCTCAAGTCCCTGCTTTCAACTCTTTGGGCTATACCCAGGAGAGGAACTGCACAAGGAAAATTTTTAAAAAGACAAAAGCAGAGGCACCAGGGTGGCTCAGTCCGTTAAGAGTCTGCCTTCAGCTCGGGTCATGATCCCAGGGTTCTGGGATTGAGCCCCACATTGGGCTCCCTGCTCAGTGGAGAGCCTGCTTCTCCCTCCCCCTCTGCCGCTCCCCACCCCCACCCCGCTTGTGCTCTCTCTATCTCAAATAAATAAATAAAATCTTAAAAAAAAGAAAAGGCCTCAAGAGAGATGTCAGTGTACTCATATTGCAATCCTGTATGGAGAACAAACACTTTAGAAAATTGAGCTATGATAAGGCTTAAGTAAGAAAGCTAAGGAAGCATGGAAGGGGAAGTCGGCAGTCTCCTGGATCAGTCAGGGAAGGCTTCACAGAAGAGAAGAAATTTGAGCTGGATTCTAATAAATAGATGACTAGGAGTTTGCCTGATAGAAAAAAAATGGAGAAGGGCAGGGAAAAAAAAAACAACTTTTTTTTAAAAAGAGTAGACAAATGCTAAATGAACATGTCCTTTGATCCAGCCATTGCACTTATAGGAATTTCCCTGCAGATATCCTCATATATGTCCACCCAAGGCAGATGTCCGAAGATCCTCACTACAACAGTGTTTGTAAGATTCTAAACCGGAAGCAGCCTCTGAGCCCATTACTCGGAGGCTGGTTAAGTAAACCATGGGGCAGCCACACCACGAATTAATATGCAACCATTAAAAAGAGTGAGGGGTGTCTCCATGTGCTGATATGGCAAGAATTCCAGACTTATTTTTAATTAAAAAAAAAAGATGTCAGTATATACCCAAATTCTTTCCCTGGAAGGATACACAAACTGTTAAGAACTACTAGCTTTGGGAGGAACAACTGTGGTTTGAGGGAGAAAAACTTAAGTTTCATGTGATACCTTCTATGCTTTTTTTTAGTCATGTGCATGTATTGCATTAAAAGAAATGTTAACAGGACTCCCAGGGTGGTAGGATTATGGGGCATTTTTCTTCTTCTTTTTTTTTCAAGATTTTATTTATTTATTTGACAGAGAGATAGAGAGAGGGCACAAAGAGGGGGAGTGGCAGGCAGAGGGAGAGGGAGAAGCAGGCTCTCCGCTGAGCAGGGAGCCTTACGCAGGACTTGATCCCAGGACGCCGGGATCATGACCTGAGCCGAAGGGAGCTGCTTAACCCACTGAGCCACCCAGGCGCCCCGGGGCATTTTTCTTCTTTATGCTTTCCTTATTTAAAATATTTTAAAGAGGAAAGCAGCTCTTTTTCTGGAATGGTTCCGTCTCAGTGGCCCCTGGAGGCAAGAGGACAGAGTAGATACTTAAAGGGCCAGGCTTCTTAAGGAGTTTGTCTTAGAAGTCTGCCAGGATTCCTTTCAAGACAAAATGGTGTTCTCACATTCTGGAGAGAGAAACTGAGGAGCAGTGATAAGAGAAACAGATCAAAGGTCCAGGGCAAGGAAAGCATGGAGCCAGGGCAGGCCCCCGAGCTCCTGCCACGTCATCTCGGGGACATAGGGGATCTCCAGCTCCTCTGCAGGGTCTGCACCCCTCCGGGTACCCAGGGCTCCAGGACAGAGACCCAGCCACACAGGGTTAACGCTGGTGCTGTGCTTCACTGAGCACGGTGGAGAAGGAGAGCAGGGGGCGAGCGCAGAGGGGCCCAGCCCGCCCGGCTCCAGGCAGCATTAATAAAATGCAGGTGTTTTTACAGTTGCATTACAGAGCAGGGAAGAGTCTCGACGGCAGCAAGCATATAGAAATATAGAAACAAGAGCCGAGTGTGGTGGAGAAAAATGTGCCTGCAAATAATGAGAAAGCGTTTTGGAAAGGAGGCTGGCTTTGGGGTTAGGAGGAATTCCGCAGTTTTGCACCCGCCTACCCAATAGCTGTGCGTGTGCGTGTGCGTGGGGGGGGGGTGTACACACACAGGCTCCTGTCTCCTGCACACACAAAGCCAGGCACACTCATCCGCCCACAATCACCACTGCCACCACGCTCTTTTTCCCAGCAACACCTCAGACAATACAAATTTGGCCTTTGACCAGGGATTGGTTCTGACATTTCCCCCAGCCACTGTGGTCTGCCTTTTCTCGCCTGCCTTCCTTTCTCTGGACCCACATACCTCCTCTTTTTCCATCATCTGTCCTTTTGTCTGTGGGGCCTTCAGTGGACTGTAGCTCCAGTTGGCCTGCCCGAATTTCTTAATCCCCCTTGGCTCTGCTTCCAAGCAGGCATTCTGTGAGCCTGGCTCCCCACCCGCCTTTCCCAAGCCCCTCCTTCCCTGCAGCTGGGGAGGAGGCGAGAACAAAATGGTGCCTCTGCCCTGGACTTCCAGAAGACCATGGAGCTAGCTCGTCTATCCCAGCTCCTGCTGCTTCGACCCTGCTGAAATGCTCCAGTCATTTAATTTAATTTAATCTGGAGACTGAAGGTGATCAGCGCAGAGAAAGGCGTGACAAAGCGGTACAGGGAAGCCTCCGTCCTCTTGGCCACCCCCAAGGGCAGGACAGGAACTTGGAGGTGGGCAGAAGCTCTGTGGGAGCTGCGCCTGGTCCTTTGCCCCTCCTCCCTCCCATTTCTCAGGGGTAAGGAGTGGCAGACAGAAAAATCCCTGCTTTGCTCGTGCCTTTCAGGGGCTTTCAGCTTGCCCTGAGTTAAAAGAGCTTAAAGTGAGTCATTTCTGTGATTTATTTAGTTGACTCTATGTCTGAGACCTAGGTTAGGTCTGCAATTGTAAGCATGTTGTTCTAACACAGGGAAAGGCTTGGGGAGATCCTGGCAGCCCCATGAGGCCCTGCGTGGCCCAAGGTGGGCTGGCGCCTAAGGGGAAGGTGAAACTCCTTCAACTGGACACGGGTTCTAGATTCCCGTAATGAGGGAGGGACTGGGGAGATGTGTTGAGGGCTCAGAAAAGGCCTCTGTCACTGGCTGCTAAGCTCACCCTGAGCATCTCTGCAGGCAAGCACCTCCCGCCCCCAGCCCACTGAGGCAGGACCTGTGTGGGGCGACGGCCAGCCCAGCTGCATGATGAATGCGTTCCCCAGAATTCAGCACCCCAAGGTCAGCGGGGGGAAGGGGGTGACAAGAGCCTGTCAGCTGTTGTCTGCCCTGGCCTGTCTGAAATGGGAGGACCAAGCTCTGAGGGTCAGGTTTTTAATTTCTCAGCTCCCATCCTCCACCACCCACCTACCTCCCTGCACAGAACAACACACAACAGAAAACAGAGCAGGCAGAGCAGGGCTGGGAGGGCAGCAACCAAACTGTCTCCCGCACATCCCCGCCCACAGCCCACAGCCCACAGCAGTGCCAGTGGCCCTTTGGAGGAGGCAGGACTGGCCATCAGCCATGGGTGCTACGCTTCGGAAGCTCTAGGGAATCCCACTATAGGGTTACCCGGCTGCTTGTCCCAGCTTCACATCGGAGCCTTCTGCCTGACCCATCCAAGACACGGACTTGTCACCTGTGGGGATAGCAGTGGGAACCATCCTGAAATCCAGGACACAGGGTCACCTCAGCGGCACCAAGTGGCCTCGGGGCCTTGCGTCCCCACACTCAGCCTTTCCTCCCTTCTGGAGTGGGATGGTGGAAGCCGCCTGTCCCCAGAGCCCCACCCCTGCCTGAAAATTGCACGGAGCCCTCAGCCCGCTCTGTGACATGGAGAGCCACGACGAGCAGATGTTTCTAATGAAGGGCCCAGACCAGGGCCCCGGAGGCAACCACAGGCAAGCCATCCTGCCTGGCTCCCATGGAGGGGCTGCAACCCCCAGGTCTCTGAGAGAGGAGCTGCCTAGGGAGTGAGACACACACTCTGGAATTCTCAGCTTTTCTTTCAGGAAATTGCCAGGTTGGCCCTTGGCTTTCTCGTGTGCGGCGCCCCGACTCCATTTCCACAGCAACCGCCTCCCCATCCTCGGGAGCCTCTCCCAGGCCGCCCGCCCCTCCGCTCCACCGCCCCCCAACCCCCTGCGTCTCATCTGTCTGGGTGGGAACCGGGATTAGAGTTGGTCGGGGACAGGGATGCTTTTCCCAGGGCCGCTGTGCCTTCGTGATCTCTTAGCGGCCGCTCGGCCCCTGCCCCAGGCCTTTCAAGTGCCCCAGACTTAATGAGTGGCCCTGGGTTTCCTCCTCTTCCCTTTCTCGGCTTCCAATAAAGCCGGACGGAGAATTAACCCAGGTTTTAAGTGCCCCGTTTCCAAATTGCATATCAAAGGGGGCTTCCCCAAGCTGCTTCTGCATTTCAAAGGGGCTGATTTATCGCTTTCACTTAAACCGGCACATTTTGGGGGAAGAGTTTTACCCAGAGGTCAAACTCTGGAAAAACAAATGGATCCCCGTTCGCCCCCTCCTGGGGTGCCGGGCTATTAGTATCCAAACTACCAGGGGTGGGGTGGGGGCCGGTGGGGAAACAGGCTCAGCTGTGTGGGGCCAGGGTCCCTCAGGGACCTAGCCTGGGCCCCAGATCCCTCGGGCTCCCCAAAGGCTGTGTTGTGAGGAAGATGGGGAATGTCCAGAACCATTCCCAGCATGGGCCTCGTCCTAAAGTCCATTTCCTGCTTCTCCGCCTGTGCGTCCAGCAACCTCTGCGCCAGTTAGCACTTCCAAGCTACTGTGCCCTCCACCAAGATCCTGGCCCCTGTGCTTCCTTAATTCATTTTCTTTTTCCAGCTTTCCCTGCAGATCCTTGCAAGGACTGAAGATTCAGCTGCTGCAGGGCTGGACCACCGAGCCACCCGCATTCCTGTTCCCTTCTTCCCTCCCGGTGAAACCTCGCCCACACCTTCCCTTCCCACTGCCAGCCCCATACATTCACTCCCTCAGTCCCCACCCCTGCCTCACCCCCC